AGAAACTTTAACATGCATTTAATAAACCAAAATACTGAGTCAGAAACTAAGAACTAAAAGTGCACAGAAATCACCGTGCTTTTTACACATATCTTAACAATTAAAAATTACATGCAGGCAAATATATGATGGTCATTCAAGGAATTCACTTTTCTTTTCGATTGAACATATTCACATTTTGTTTACATAAGCAAATGAATATTCTTTATAATGCAGTGAAAAAATATCAACTTGTAAGATACCAGATGCTTCAATAAATCAACTACCTGCTCACTGTTTATTGGTCATTATTACCGACTTTCAAAAAGTGTCTTTAAAACTCTGAAACAAAATAATATAATAATATGATGATTTAATAAATAATAATGAATTATTACAACAATAACAATAACTGTCACATAATTATATTAATAACGTCAGTTGCAAAATGCGATTAAACGAAAATAATGATACCATGTCACAACGAAATAGAATAGTAACGAAATAGAATAGTATTCTTGATAAATTTCCCAAACCTTACCATTTCATGCTTAAGAGCAGAATATTCTCGCCATGGAATAATCACTGGAAAAATATTCATATTTTAATGGAAAGTTGATTCGTTCAATTGAACACTGTACTCATCAGCCAAAATTCACTATAGCTACAGTGTGCATGCATTTTTCAAGTATTCAAAAAAAGAATTTTGAATTTTTCACGAAAGGTACCGAAAACATTTTCATGCAGAAATAATGAATAAGCACACATATAACATACAAATAAATACAGCGATTCTAGATAACAAGTTTCGGAAATGTGCGCTAAGAAATGTTTTTATATAAAAATAGTGTGCAACACTTGAAAAATCTATCTCTGAACTTGCTACCAAGAGTACACGCGGTTATTAGCATATTTTTCAGTGTGGCATAGGAAACCATTGTAAGTAAGAGGTACATTCATAACCGTTTTTGTCTGAAAAATAGAAATCATAGTTCGATACGCTATGCGTCTTCATGATTTCTACAGAACAATTCATTAGCCACCCATTATTTTTCCTACATTCGAGTAAATCACTGATCACACTGCAGCGCTTACAAATCTTATATTCACTAAATTTTTTATATTAATTTTGCAAATCATTTGAATAAAAAAGAATTATTACGGAATTACAAATCACAGTACATATTTCGTCAATCGACGTCACGTTATTTACTATCGTTATACTTTTCACAGAGTTGCTTCAAAAGAATATTTATAATACTGAATCCCCATCAATTTATCGACGCGATAATAAGCACTATACGTAATAACAAGCGTCAATATATTGTAGGGATACAATATATTGACGGTAGAAGAAATAAGATTCCTAGAAATACTATTTGTAAAAAGCTTGTACATTGACCAAATTACTGTAGATACGATGATTAAAAGCATAAAGGGATCACTTCATCAAGCAACACCTTCAAATCGTGAGACAGGCTTACATTATTACTCAAAAAATGAATTTTGCCCGTTTCTTGAAATTCTTCATTTCTTTCGGTTCTACAATGTAGCAAGCTTAAATCCATTTATTTTGCCTGAAAGTACAAGTGAATATAACAACAGCATAAATTCTGCTCCAGTTCGATAATTGCTAGCATTAATGTAATTCAATCAAACTTGTGTTTTGGAGTTCATTATTAATAATATTTTACAAGAGAGATAAATAGAAAGCTGATAAAATGAGCATACTGTTCTAAAATAGATAGATAATTCACTCACAAATGGCTTATTATTTATGAAATTAATATTTTTCAAAATCAATCCATTTCTTTGGAAAAAATTTAGATGCAACAGATCTATACCAGTGGGAAAATTTGACTCCACTTCTGTAACTATAGAGATCCGTTCTTTTCTATACAAAAAACTTTTTGAAACAAAGATTACATAAAGAATAAATGTATGAAATTAATCGCTCATACCTGTTACATCAAAATCTGAAAAATCTGGAATATCATCTTCAATTTCCTGTAAACGTCTAAGGAACTACTGGATAATGACATACTTGGAAAAAATTTTACTTGTTTCTCAATTTATCATCGCATCATTGTTTAAGGAATGAGCAAATGTATTTTGATACCCAATGAGCTCTCTGGAATATCATTTTCAATTGAAGTGTTAAAAAAACCAGTTCAATAACAAAAAAGAACTATTTCCTGTAGTAGAGAAAGAAAAATACCGCCTTCTATAGTATAATGTTAACAGTGAGCTGTATAGAACAAGCACCTGAAAGATGAGATAAATCTGAGCCAAACCTGATTGATGAAATAAACATTCACTAGGTGATTAAGCGAATTCGTAGGACTACAAAATCCTCCATTCATAATAAAAGCTGTCATTGTTCGGATCGGGCAACAAATGAATGTTTCGTCAGAAAAAAGAAAGTTAGAGTGCACTTTTTGACTCGTAAAAGAAAGAAGAAGTAATTAATTGTACCTGCTAACTGAATATCTGAGAACGCTCAACACCTAGCTATAGAGATTCGTTCTTTTCTACACAAATTACATGTTGAGTACATTCTCTACATGAATGAGAAACTGTTCACTGAATCACTACAAATTTCGTAAACACGATCTGCACATTATCTACTCTTTAACTGTAAGACAGGAAGAAGGGAGCAGAAGAACTCGGACAGAAATGCAAAAATCTTCACTCCAATTCATTTTTGACCATGCATTTTGTCTGCTGGTGGTATTCAGGAGATGAATTTTTTAAGATCAGGAAAACTCACATAACTGTAAGACGAGAATAATGTGGACAAGTGACATGCAATACTTGGAGACGGAAAATTTATCTTAATTACCACTGCAACAAGTATTATGACATAGCAATAGCTAAATTCATGCGTATATGGCTGTCACTCACTCCGCTCATGAGGGCTACATGAGAGAAATTGCTCGTGTCTATCTACTCTCTTTAAGCAAAAAACAACACAGTGCTTTAAAGTTGCCCACAATTATATCACAGTTGTATGTCAGCAGAGAGCACACAAGAAAGCCCTGAATGTTGATGCTGCAGCGGTAAGGAAGGAATGAATTGAATAATTGAATTTATGAGTGCTCTTCTTTTCTAACACATACATTCAACATTTTCCAATATTTTCAGAACTTCTTAATCCTTACAATCATGCTCGTTCTTACATAACGATTTTTTCTAAGCCTGGTACAATATTACACCTTACGAACAGTAGTAACACGCTCCTGAACAAAGCCACATAACTATCGCTCAATCTCTCTTATTCAGTAATTAACACCACTATCATCTCATTACGACCATAACGAAAGCATTTCTGAACTTGAATTCTTTACAGTAAGACCAAGTAAAGAACTCTTTTCTATAATACCGTAACTTTCTGATAGTATCACATACAGTATGTGCCTCGGAATCTCTAAACTGAATGACCCCACTACTGCTGCAACGAATATCAGCACATGCAACAAAGCCAGAAACAATCAGCGACTTGAACAGGTTTAGCAATGGATAATCCTTTACTCCTCACCCATCCTATGCTCATATAAAATTAGGAACAGTGTAATCAACTCATCTTAATGAAAAACACACCATAAAGTTTTCAGGCTTCTTAATGCTCCCAACCCCCTCAATCTTCCATAACAAATGGAATTCAAACCAAAGTAACTCTCCTAATAGCTTTGGGATTAGCATCGAAATTTACAATACAGACTCACTGGCCAAGTGACTTTAACTGTCCTGAAACCAAAAAAGAACAAAAACCATTGTTCTCGCTTAATTATAATCATATCATGTAAGGCAAGAGGAAATCACTAGATAAAAAGCAAACACATCATGCTACACAACTAAATATTCCGACTTGACACTTGGCATTCAGGACTCCATCGCGATAAACCACATAATATAGTGCAGAGCACCACAAATGAGTCCTTAAAAATCCAAAGAATTAACCAGTCAAGGGTTACTATATTAATCTTTCCCGTAAGAACAAATTTCACCAAGACTACTTCCACTATGCTTAAAATACAAATTTTGAAAGCTTGCACAACCAATCTGCATCACAAATTTGTCTCTAGATGAAATCTCCATGAAATACACGAAAATGATTTACTGACATCACACAACTCTTGCAAAGTATCAAAAGTCATATCTCCCAGATGACAGCAAGAATACATTTAAATTCTTGTTCATTTCCATGGCTTATTGCCTCGAATCTTATAGGAACCAGTAAAAAACATTGCTGAAAAAATACTGCAATTCAGAAATGTAATTTTCTTTAAAAATAATGTTGACAGATTATACAAAGCTATCATTACATGAAGTCAAAAAAATATTTGCTAAATTAATGATAGCAGTTAAAGGATGCACTAACACTGGTACCTAGATAGAAAACAATACATGAAAATGCATATGCAGCAGTACTAAAATAATTCAGCAAAAGGATACTGAAATTATCATGTGATAAAACCGCTATTTTCAAATAGGCAAAAATTCATAAATTTATAGCTGACATTACTCAATGATCACTGATTATAGTAACAAATATATTCTCAAGTGCAGTGTCCTATATACTTTTCCATACATAATTTCCCCGATATTTCTTTACTTAGCTTCGTGAAAATTAATATCCTCAGTTATATCTAGTCTACTTGTCACCAAATAATTCAAATGCCCCAAAATCTTTGACAACTCTATTTAAAAAACGAGTAGGTGGATTAGAAAATTCATAAACCAATTCAATATACAACAGCACAGTGTGAGCGAATTGAACACAGATGAGTACCGGATATGAAATGAGTGTTTACTTCATAATTCTGATCCCTTTGATCGAAGAAAGCACCACTGCAAAGACACATTAACTTCAAACCTGCGTCAAAATAACCCGTTAAAATGAATAAATTCAAAAAATACTTATTTTATGTAAACGCCATCGCATGAACAGAATTACGTATGTTTCTTTACAGCGAAAGAGAGATCAACGAAAAAAAATCGTCATGATTTCACTGTTTAAATCAAGGTGACAAAACAGTTTCACATGAATTACACAAAAATAAACAAGCAAAATCGTCATAATCAACTATAAGTATTTCCCGAAACGAGGACAAATGAGTCTCCATACTTGAGTACATTTGTACAAATGAATTAAATTTTTCTAAAAAATTAAATTAAATATCTTTATTTCCGAGAAAACTTTGTATCAATCCATATACCAGAAACCATGAGTATCATTTTCAACTGCATAATCCAGACAGTATTAATAATGAATAACTTGATCATAAATACCACTACCTAACTTTAAAAGCTCACATGTGCAAAAAAATTTTTATATTTATACTGTAACAGCCAATTAGATGAAGTACAAACGTGAATACAAATGCAAATAATGGAATACAATCCAAGACAACAATAACAATAACAGTAACTGTGACTGAAACTGACAATGACGGTTATCTCAAAATTCACAGAAAAAAGGTTTAATTTACGTTAAAGTGCGACCGAGCATGCAGACAAATTTTTTCATTAATTAAGAACTTGAATTATAAAAACAAAGATATTATTTCGTGTGTATGCGGCTTTCATATGATGAAACCTAATTTGAATATAAATAAAAAGTAAAAATGTCCACACCTGATTAATTTTCACTGATTCTTTTTCGGACAATATTTTGTGCTCTAGTTTCGCTTACATTTTGAAATGGTAGATAATCGATTATTTGGATTATTTAGCATAGAAGATGGAGTATGTGTAGAAAGGAAAGCTTTAGTACGTTGCCGTGTCTGAAAAATTTGTATTATTAAGAGAACTACACTTTAAAGATAAAATCATACGAAGTTCGTGGCTATTAAAACTAAAAACTAACTTGGTGTCCGCGTTGCTTTGGTCTTACCGAAATTCGTACACCAAACAACTTAACTCGATCAAGCATTGCACACGCAAACGGAACGCTAGTTTCATGCTTGAAAACAATTAATGCATAACGATTCTCAGAACCATTATAATAACACTTACTTTTACGTAAAATCACAGCTTCGAAAGGTCCGACCTGGAACAATAACATCCATATGAAATTTGAGTCCATTAACTTTATAACTAAAAAACATTCTTGCAGTGACAAATCACTGGCGTCGATCAGTTGATTAAAACATTTATACTAAAAGCAAATATGTAACCTGATCAATGACTGCAATATTTACGCTAAATAACCTGGCAAAACAGTTCTTTCAAAAGCTCCTCAGTGACATCAGCATGAAGATTGCTTACATAACATGTTCGTCTATCAGAATCAACCATCAGTTCAATCTGTAAATGTCATAGATATCAGATTGCCATAGATTTAATCAAATAACCAGCTTCTACTACCCCACAGATCTACATTACTAAGGAACCAAAATGTAAATGCGCAACCCCTTACTACCATTTGAGAACATTCATAAACACTTGATACACCACATGAACCCCGCGGCCGATCCATAGAATACCGAAAATGCCAATCTCGTAATGACTTCGCATCAAAGTCCCTTTGACTACTAAGTGATCCATCCAAGTTATGACGTGTTAATGTTGTTCCGAGAATTGCGAGGAGCACGTAATTACCCTTCTTAAGCTTGAGGTCTCGCAAACTTTTCAAGCCCAAATTGTAAAGCTTCTTCCTTACAATCAACGGTGTTGTCTCGTAAACTTAATAACCGAAAAAGCAGTTCCCAATCAGCATATTCTTCAAGTAACAAATAACACCAAGTCTCCAAAAACAACTGATATTTATATTTATAGCACAACTTCTATTTCTCATTACAATATATATGCTACAGCAGTACCATAACATTTCCTACAAACTCTTCACTCGAATTTGTAAAGTCTAAACAATCCATAAACAATACTTGTTGGTGTGCTAAACATTTAAATAGGAAATGCCTTGGGAAACAACAGTGTAATTGAAGAAGTCTTCTATGCAACTTTATAACACCCTCAATTAATGTGCAATTACAAACTTTTAAAATTGTTTCAATTCAAAAAAATCCGAAGCGTTCTGATTGGTCAGTAGCCTTTTAGGTTTTCAGATATTACACTTACAGAGTCATCTTAGTAACAAAATGAATGAGGTTTAAATACTACCTTAAACAGATGATTGTGCCATAACTATATCCTGAAATGGATATTAGCTATGAGAAATCAGCAAAAAACATTTGTTCTTTTATTTGACATCCTTAAAGATGTATTTTACATCAACAATCTTACATTAGAATTTTGTATTAGAATCACCAATAAAGACAATTTCCACTGCATTGCAATGTGTCTGGAGAATGATCAAGTTACTTAAAAATTGAAAAACATTTGCAAATTAATTTGGGAAATGAAAATGAGTCCTAGTGAATAAGTCTGTGGCAGAAGAAGCGTGCATAACAAAAATAATTACTGCTTGCTGTCCCTAACAGACATCTTCAATAACCAAACATTTTCGCAACGCTATTCAATTCTGGTCCGTTACCGCTCTCCTTGATGCTTCTGGTCTTCATTTGCCGAAACATTATATACAATAAAAGCAACGATTCCTGATATTACATTCAGAATAAAAACTTCACATGAAAAGTAAGCATTACTTTTCATCTGAATTTTTTATTTGTATTAATATCACGTATCACCAAACAATATTATGATGTATCTAATTTCTATCTTAAAACATTAAGCATTAAGTTCAAATAAAGTGTACTGACAATATAATTCAATTTCGTTTGGATTTTCTGCCATTCAGAAAAACATGCTACAATAAACTACGGAGAGACCGTATTTTTAAGGAGCAATCAGCACCACATGAATAAAGACGGATTTTGGGATCGATGTATAATTGCTGTATACCCTGTACCGTCGAAGCAACCTGGCGCAAACTAAACCCTCCTCGAGCAACATGTTCACTGTCAAGTGCAGCCACAAGATTCGGTGCGAGATCAGTGCTCCACACCTATTGCAATCATTTTCCTAATGAAAACTTTTGAACACACTAAATCTTGTACAACGAAAACCGAAATATTTTTAGGGAATATTCATATATGAATCCTTTTTATCTTCGAAAGAAAATGAATTCGCCGAATTCGCTCTTTTGCTAATGATTCGATATAAAACTTTAACAATAACCTTTATGTCCCCATCATTTGACCCAGCGACAATGATTTGTTGAAATGGATCGCTTACAAGGCATTTCACAGCAGAATTATCAAAACTCTTGACAGTTGTACGCAACCGCCGTTGCCGGAAGTCCCATATACATAATTCTCCGTGTCGTCCACCAGATACTATGCTCTAAACATTGTTAAACTCGACCACAAACATTTATTGGTCTGTTTCAGAAAAAAATATGTCTATTTTACAGGTCGAGTGGAAAGCTCAATAGATAGCCTTTTCCTAAAGTTATTTGCTTTCAATTTTCGCAATTCTTTGCTTTTCAACTTATGCTTCAGAAGTTTTAGAATACCTGTTGCGATGACAAGTATATAACAGATGTTGCTCCTTCTGGATGTGCAGTCCAGGAATGAATAAGTGATTTTGAATGTGGCATTAAAGTGTCCCAAATACTGATGTTTTCATCCATTAAACCCAAACCAGCAGTAACCAGAATTGAAGATGTGGGACCCAAAAATTGCACATCTGATGCAAATTTTGAGTGACATTTCTGATTCTAAAATTCATTTCGCAAATATCAACACCAACTTCACTGAAATGCAGCTTAAAAGGAGTATAAAAATACATACAAAGAAAGGTTTCTTGACGGGCAATCCCTGGTTTGCTTGCCATAAACATAATATTCCATCACTATCAACAGACGCAAATTTGCTACCATTACTACAGAACAATATTTTCGTCACCTGAGACAACATTATGAAAAAAATATTGTCAGCAAAATTCAGAATTTCGAAAAATAAAAAATAATTTTGAAACCTTAGCATATTGTCCAGCTATGCGAGGAGTGAAGAGAGGTTGTCCAACTCCCCATTCCCATAACCGTATTGATCCATCCGATGACCCACTAATATCTAAAAAAAATCAATATGGGAAATGGAATCTGTTCTTTTCCAATTTAATGTCAACTTACGAGAGGACTTGAAACTTTGGAACATGAAATATTATAATTTCTAAAATTAAAAGACAACAAAAACAAATTATTAATTATTGCTTTAAATGGCAATATGGGCGTTAGATAACGCGTAAATATACATGCATTTCAGTATCAAATACAAATAGATATGAAGTTCGGGGCAAAAGTCAGACTTATGCTTTGTTATTATTGAAAAAATGAACTTACAATATGGTAATGTTGGGTGAGGATCTAATCGCCGTATCCCACTAACTTGTCTTTTATAAACCTGTGAAAGAGATAATTAGCAAAAGCTAGAAGCTGACTGAAAAAACAAAGCTGCATCCAATAACAAAAACTAAGTGAAAAAGTGAATAGCATGACTTATATTTTCATATTCAGGTCTAAAACTGCTCTTATTTACACAATAATGGTATTAGTATTCAAACTGATACTAGACAAGACCCAGAAAAATCTAAGATACAAATAACGTTATCAAATATTTCCGGTCTTATTGATGATAAAAGAAGTCATATGCATACAGCAAAAACTAAAACAAGAAATCGAATCCAGAAACACACGTCAACTCATGAGATGAAGTAGCTCCAAAATAAATCCTAATTAAGCAAAACATAGAAATAGAGCTAAAAAATAAATGCGTACAGAGTTTATAGTGGCAACTTGTCGTCCACTTTCAACCAACAGTTGATAATCATCATTATCCTAGAAAAAAAGCTAACCAACAAATATTTGATTAAGACTATCAAAAACGGTTCAATTCAAAGTTAAGAAATACATCTAAAAAGCAACAATTCACGATTACTTTTAAATCTTTTTTTCTTTCATCAAGTGCAACATCAAATTCTGCTCGATTGAACATCCAGAAAGGCAATTTTAGTCTGTTTGTTCCATCAAACAATGCTGAGAGATCTATTTCTTGCAGTTCGCGAGCATTTGAAACTACCAAAAAGCCAGGTTTCGCCTAGGAATAGAACAGAAAACATACAACAAGATCAATTATGTTCAATAACTTTCGTATAAAAATTTTAGAAATCAGAAACAAACCACTCGCACATAAATTTCTTCATTACCGAAAATATAATATAGCTAACGAAACACGAAAATATCATTATCAATGGAAGAGTTTTTTTGGTTACATAAATCAATGCTTATTTCGTTTTCGATGCAAGAGTCCCAAGCGGTTAAACATTCCTGCTCTTGTAAACGAACCTCACTACAGCAAAATGCCGCTATAGGTTCATGATCCCTTTGCACAATTTTGAATACATTTTCAACACCTTTGATTAGAGGTTCGACATTACTTTCCCGCTCGCCACTTCTGTTCTACAGCAAATCAGAATTTAAAAAATAATAAGAGACAATTGCAACAAAAAATCACCCTGCAGAATTAAATTATCAAGATGAATAATGTGACCTGCTTATCGTTGTAGCCGAAAATGTGCTTAACGAAGAGAGGTAAAATATGTTCTTGGTGAATAAGGTACAGCCAAATTCTCTTGACTGGTAATGCAGATGGATCTGCACACTCAAAAGGCGTGTTGTTTCTTTCCATTAAAACATCGTATTTTTTTAAAGATGATACTAAAGAATGGTCCAAGTATAATAAGCGTAAGTATCGGAATACAAATAAAACATATGCATAGTAATCCTTCTAAACAATACTGATGAAATTAAACTACTGTTATCATCAAATATATTAACGAGAATCATAATCATAATACGATCGCTGCTTCCTAAGCTCCAACTATCCTTTAATATCGTAAAGCTTGACCTGCACTGACATCATCATTTACAGCTAATAAATTTGGAAGTAAGCCAGAAGGACATCTATCAGGCATTGCATATAGTTGTTGTTCAAGGATTCTTGCCCAATTTTCGATAAGTTTAAACACAGCATTTGCACGAGGAGACAAAGCTGGTAGTTCTATAAATTAAAATCTTCTGCAGTTTAAAAATAAAACAGTGATAAATAACTAATATCAATAACTAAAATCATACCTGAATATTCTAAACCAGCAAGTTTTAAAAAAGACTTCATACGATGTAACAGCTGATGGGTAAGAGCTAAACGCAAGATCCACCAAGCAAATCCTTCTGAATCATTGTGCTGTTCCTTTTGCAAATTTTCTAACTCCACAGTTGATTCATCTTGTTCTTCATCAGAATCATAATCTGTTTGCAGAATTTCAAATGGTACTTTGGGCTGAAACGGAATATATCACGGAATAATTTCGATGAAATTTTTAGCTTTTACAATGGTGAATACAGTTGATCGCAATTTCTCAAAAACCGACGAAAATTGCCCGGAAAAAAATACCTTTTCAGCAAAAAATTGCACTATACTCTTTTTAGGTGGTATCCACTGAGGTATATGGTGGCACTTTTCATATCTTGAATTACTTGTTGAAATATTATCACATGAAATAATAGCTGATCCTTCAACTCCCATTATCTTAAAAATTAGTTAATCTACAATTGATAACATAATAAAGACATAGCATTAAACCCAAGCAAATAATTTACTATTGGCATATTATCAATATAACAACAAGAAACATAACTGGAAGTAAATTAAAATTACTTTGGCTTTGAATTTAGAATGGAATGATGACGAATTGATTGAAAGATTGCTTGCAATGCTCTTTGAGTCCGTTTCGTTGTCCAAAGTACTCGATGATTCGACAATGTGTTTCACACCACCTAAATGAAATGTCAGGTAATTTATAGAAAAAAAAGTGCATATTAAATAGTCTTCATGTGAGTAATTTGTTTTCAATTTCACCACCTCCACCAAATAAAATGGCAAATTCATTAGTATCAATACTGTGGGCTGCTAAACGAAACAACCACCGCGCATCATAAGTGCCAAGTCCATATGCAAAAAGGGAAACAAATACCTGCAAATCATAATGCATAATTTTACTTCCAAATATATTTTGAGTTTAAACATTAAAAATCGATAAAGCCGTACGGATATAAAAAAGTCAAGATCATTGTTTTGAAACTTAAAGGAATAGCACAGGAATTGACACATTAAAACATGAATGCATTAATTTCAATTATTAACTGAAATCACAGAGCTCACTGAAGCAGTTATTACTAAAGAAAGCTCACAGCTATATAAATTTCGAGCAGGAGAATCCTAAGTTGTGGAGCTTCGTCGTTTTCATAAAAAGGAGCCATCGGACTGCTCATTCCTGGCCAATTTAGAGGAGACGTTGTAACTTTGGGATCATCATTCATTGCAACTCTTGCGAACCGTAACACAATTCTGAGGAAGTTTGGATACAACGAAACATCATTAAGACGATTTAATATTCTTTCTCATTAATACCAGTTTTGCTGACTCCAAAATTTTTTCAATCATTTTTGCCCATATTTAACGCCTTGCAAAAGAAATAACTAAAAAACCTGTGAAACCGTACCCCGATTGCTGCACGGCATCAACATCATTGAGGTTGCAAAGAGATTGGAATAGACATGAAGACAAACCCTGGCATAAACTGTAGAGTTTGTAGACCTATGAAGGTTCTATTAAAAAATTGAACGTGAGGTTAAGATTATCGAAAAACCAATTTTGGTAGGATCTATACCTATGGCTACAATTGAGCAAATAATACTATTACTAATGATTTGTAAATCACTAGTAATCCTATTCTCTGACTGAAAACGAAACCACCTTTTGAAGTTTGTAAAGTGGAATGCGGATCATACGATTAATTCCAAGCATGGCTATGATAAATTTAAGATTTTATGAGAAAAAACAAACGCACCTTAGGCAAAGAACTATTGATCAATGGAGGTTCACATAAGTCAGTAATTGAAAGCAAGATATCTGAGCAAAGACTTTTAATAAAGGTGAGCGGCGATGACATGAATGATTTATATGGTGAAAGATAAGAAATAAAAAGTGGAAATGAATGTACCACTGCCATAGACTCTAAAAAGCATCATGATAGAGTTCACACTACATCGACAAATAATACAACATTAATTAGTTAACGTAGATTCCAATGAACACAAATGAAGAACTACCTTCTGAAAGCTTCAATAACTTTTCATCCCCTTGTATTTCCATTAATAACAATAGCAATTCCATTAATGCAGCAGTTAGACGATGATTTTGAGAATTATGCAGTGCGCAATAAGACACAAAAATGCGTAGAAACTTCTGATTTGAACGTAACCATCTCCTGCGGCGTAAAATGCACTGCATCAGGTTGCACGGCTTTTCCAATTCATCCGAATGAAGGGCTCTGTGAAGTTGTAGATTATTGGGATTAAAATAAATAAATAAATATCAATCAATATTACACGGATGTTACTATTCTCTTCATTACTGATTCTAATTAAGAGCTCTG